CTGTGGAGAGGTATGCCATAGGAGGCCAGCATAATTCCATGGTCTAATGAAAGACATCTAAGCAGAGGAGACCCACTGAAAGAGAAGAAAGTAATTTCCATGAAGTGTCTCTCTGTGTCTGATTCAAGGGTATATACATTATGCAGAAACCTGAATCAGTGAGTCTTTGAGCTGGGAACATTCATTTAATTGCATTCCATAATGTTCCTGCCAAGTCACCAGGCCCATACATTCCCCAGCTCCTGCTTTTTCAAAATTGAAATCATTCCCTTTGCAGAAACAAACTATCCGTCTCCATGAGGTCCCATCCGGTTGGTCAGAACTTCTTGCTGGGTAGTTATTTGATGGTAAATTATATTAAGAAATTAAACATAAACCCCATTGGTAATGTTGATAGTATTCTCCACACACATGAAATATTTAAAGAAAATCAGGAGTTAGGGAACTATATTTGCACCCAAAGAACTTGTATAAGATGGATGTTCTCTGAATGCAAATGCAAGGTTTCTGTTCTAAAGACCCTCACAAATACCTAAGAGCTGACCTTTGCTTTGCTTTTTGTGACAGGGAAACATTTATTTAGTAATTTCCTGCCTCAGTTGGTCCTACCCATAATCCTCTGTGATATCCAAAGGTATTTCAGAAGTCCAGGGACATTCTGAATATAGAAGCAAAAGGGTGGAACCAGCCCAAATGGTTAGCACCATCTGCTAAGGTGTCAGACATATGAATGGACAGAAGAACCCTTATTCTTTGATGGATGAGCAGACGTGGTCAAATTTACAAGGTGGTTTCTCCTAAGCCATGGTATAAATAGCTTAAGGAATATGTCAAATTGGGGACAGTTGAAGCTGCTACTTGAGGCACATCTCACTTCTATCTTCAAGTCCACTGGGCCATTCCTTACAGGTAAACAGTGCCTCTCTATCCTGGCTGCTCATTAATATGAACTTTTGAAATGTTCTAGACCTGATCAGAGCAGACCAATTAAATCAATCTTTGGTGATGGGAGAATCCAGTCATCTAAACATTTTTATAAGTGCTTACAGTCAAAAGTCTGGTCAGAATCTAGAAACAGAAGTGGGGAATTTAATCAAAATAATTTTAGCCAGTTATCAATGAATGTGGGAAGCAGCAACCACCAGTGAGCCGGGGAGACACAAAGAGAGGGGGTTAGGGCTGTTGATACTTAGGAGCTGGGAGGAGGCCCCTGCTGGGGTGTGCCACCAGCTGCTATGAGTGTCTGGACTCAAAGGAGGGACCCACAGAGCTGGAGGAGGAGGCTGACTTCTGAGGAGGAGGTGCCCGCTGGCTACTGCTTATGTCTCAGATACAACTGATCCAGGGTTTTGGCAAAACTACAAACCAGAACCAGCTGCTGCTGCAGGAACCACAGGGTGAAGAGCCATTTCCAGGGTGACAGTGGCAGGAGCAGAAAGAAAATGGAATGGAAAAAAATTCCATCCATTCAGGCTCTTCTAGCGTACCCTATGGCAGAGAGGATGAAGGAGAAGTGCTGTTGGCAGAATCCCAGCCCCAGCATTTCAAAATGGAACATAGGAGGGTAGATTTAAAGTAAGAAACTGGACTCTACTAACCAGCACTGGTCACCAGGTGGTCCTACTGGAGTGGCAGGCCTGAGAATTATCGGCTATGGGAAGTCCTAGACAACCTAGCACTCTGCTCAGGGATTCCTCCTCTCTTTTGTGTCGCCCCCGACTCTAATCAGCTCAACTCTCCCACTGCTGGACTGCTCCCCCGGTCCCTGCATTTGCTCTCTGAGTTCCCCACCTCTGAAGAACTCTAGCCCTCCTTAGCTCTGCAGGATCCTACCCTAGGCAATCAGAGGACAGAGGCTGAACTTTGACTTCCCCAGTTGTTTGAACTCAGGATCCCAGGTGTCACATTTCCCTGGAGTCATCCAGCTCTGGTGGTCAACAAACGCTTGTGTTGATGATCTGCTCAAACAGTGGTCTTTAGCTATTGGATTTGGCGAACACCCAAATAAGAAAATTCTGTAATCCAGTGAGGTGTGACTGAATCAAAAACATCAGCCTGTGTTGTTTCCTCTAGAGAGCCTGATTGGGTTATTTTATTAGCTGTAGAGTTCACTACTTAAAAAACACTCCATCAGTTACATCAAAAGAGAAATAAGATAGTCCTTTGTGTCCTGAGGATCTCCCACATCTAATGAGAAGCTGTAAGTCTTCATTTCGTTCATCAGAATGAGGGTCAGCAGTCTCCAGTAGCTCATTTGATAAATATATATATTGACCTCCTACCAGGGTGCGGATAGGGTTCTAGGCATTAGACATCTCTAATGCCTAGAACATAGGAAAAGAGCTACCCTCGTGACCGGCACTTTTAACTTGGAGAATAATGAAATTTTTTAACCACAGTAATGAACAAATAAACATATTCAATACCAGATGCTGCATTAGTTATCCACTAATGTACAACAATTTCTTCAAAACTTAGCACCTTAAAACATAAAAGACTTGTGGTCTCAAGGTTTGTGAGGGTTGGGAGTCTGGGAACAGTGGGTTGGGAGGCTCCAGCTCAGCCTCTCTCACGAGGTTGGAGTCAAGGGCCAGGTAGCTCTGAAGTCTCACCTGAAGGTCTGTAAAGGGTTGGAGGGTCTGGTTCCAAGTTAACTCATGTGACATTATCTCAAAGCTTTGTCCCTCACCTATGGTTCTTCCCAGAGACCTGTTCACAACTCAGCAGAGTGAATGATCTAAGAGTGACTCAATTTTGGAAGTGGCATACCTTGCTTTGGATGTATTCTATTATTGGTTGTGACAGTGATCAGATGTGGGAGGAGAATGTCAGGTCATGAATGCCAGGTTGCAAGGATTGCGGGCACTCTTGGCCAGAGCCATGTAGGGAGGAGGAGAACAGGGGAAAGGAATAGGGAGGACAGGGGTTTGGAGTGAATATTGCTCTTGATGCAGATGGCCACAGAGGACTTCACTGACACAAAGCAGACACCTAAAGGAAGGGAGGAAGTAGCTTTGTGGCCTACATTCTAAAGGACTCCACCTTGGGTCACCTTTTCCCAGAGGTCCCTCAGTACCCGCTGTGCTTCCCCAGAGCACCTACTCTTACTGGCCAGAGGCTCTCTCTGCTGTCCTCCCCCTCCCCCTTTCACTACAGGCTGAGCTCTTCAGTGCTGCAGAAGACGTTTTGTTCATCTTTGAACCTGCAATAAAGGGTTAGTGATTGTTAGATGAATGAATGAAGTTATTCATTAGTATTCTCTGCAGTCTTTTTAAAGAATTTAGCTTGAATTGCTGTTTAACATTACTTAAAAAATAAGCTTCAATTGTCTTTTGGGGGTTTATACACTCTTGAACATAAAATCTACTTTTGTGCTATGTCAATTGCTTACAACACTGTTGGTTTATGAAGCACCATATGGAACAAAAATATGTGGTAACTTATTGAATGGGAACATTTTGTGAGAAAAAATATTTTTGTTCCCATGCAACAATGTTTCCATTAAATTGCTTCTAAATATGTAAAAAGAAAAAAAAAACTCAAGAGTGGCAATAGAATACCCTAAGGAATCTAGAAAGCATGCAAAACATCAGTATTATTTTGATAATGAAAAACAGATATGAATGATATTTCTTCATACTCTCCCCACCCCACCCCCCTTTTTTTTGCAATTACTTTCTTTGTAAATATATGTCACATGTTCTGATTTACCCACAGTCATACTACAGACAGCCATTTATACAGAAAGATAGCAAGTCACCCACAGAAATATGCCTCCTGTGCATTTGGGAGCAAAACTATCAGCCAAAGCAACAGCATCCTTTCCTCTCATCTGACTCCAGAGGTCTAACCTAATATCTGGTTTATTATCACTCCCAAATTTTATCCCGGAGAACTCAAGGTATCAAAGCTGAGGAAACTGTAATGTGCCTACAGATCACTGCATATTTTGTTAAATGTAGATTCAGGTTCCCAAGGTCAAGGATGGGTCCTGAGTTTCACCATTTCTTGGGTGTCAGCTGTTGAATGTCAAGGTACTAAAACAAGGTTCAGAGAGTTCAAGAACTATGAGTCTGCCTATATCCATAGGTTGTTTGAAATGTCTTTTTTCTTTTCCTTCACTTTTTTTGTTGTCAATATAATGAGGATTCCTTATAATAATCAAGAAACAAACTTCTTCTCAATTTGCAAAATAGTTCAACCATTTATTCTTCCATCAGACGATACTGATTTCAGGTCTCTGATCTTGAAATTTGATCAGTTTGAAAACCAGTTGTGTTCAGCTACGGTTTCATTTGACCAATTGCCAACGTTAAGAAATCTACAAAGTAGATTCCAAATCAAATTAAATCATTACCTCTTATCTCTAAAACAAAGGCTCTGTATTTCAAATGTTTTCAAGTTAGAAGCAAAGAGAAATAGTCATTAAGAATATAATTAAAAAGTTATATCGATCATCCCTGTTTTATTCAGTTTTTTTTCGCTGCTGTGACGAAAGGATCTTACAGAACAACTATAGAGGAGGAAAAGTTTGTTTCAGGGCTCACAGTTTCAGAGGTCTTAGTCCATAGAAGGCTGGCTCCACTTATCAAGACTCAAGATGAGGCTGAACATCATGGTGGAGTGTGTGGCAGAGGGCAGCCGCTCACATCATGGTGGTCAAGAAGCAGAGAGGGGACTCCACTCTCCAGATACAAATATATACACCAAAACCTCGCCCTAATTCCCACCTTCTCCAGCCATACCCTCCAACTTCAGTTACCATCAGTTGATTCCTATCAGGGGATTAAATCACTGATTGGGTTAACACTCTTACAACCCAATCATTTCTCCTCTGAACCTTCTTACATTGTCTCACACGTGAGATTTGGGGGGATACCTCACATCCAAACCATAACAATCCCATATAAAATTCTAGGTAGATAGATACCTTCTTTCTGTACCCCAACTATATAGAAGAAACAGGAATTTTACCCAAGATTTATTTCATTTTTATCAAGAAAATTTTCATGTGACATTGATCTGTTTCTCAAATTAGTGCATAGTCTGTACAGAATTATTCACTGCATCTTTTTGATCCTTTCATGTTCAAATTGTCTTATCAAGATGTGTAAATACAGGATCATATTGGTCACAGATTGTTGGCTTTCGTTTATTTAAATATAAATATTTAACAAAGTAGAAAAATGTATCAGAGTGAATGGGAGCTCCCCTGGCTTGTAATCACTAAAGCAGCTCACCCCTGGGCCTTGCCCCCTACCCAAACTCCAACCCCATCCTACTCCCAGAGTTCTCACCTCTGTCTAAGTGGGAAGGTGACACTTGTGCCCACGTTGAGACTCGTTGACTACGTCTCCACAGCAACAGGACCCAGCAAGATGCTCTTCCACCAGCCAGCAAGCTGCCACTTATGAGTCATTCCAGCCCGACTCAACTTGTCTCACAGCTCTCAACGTGCCTTGCTTCCACCAATGACAACTCACAGGGTGAATCAGGGTGTCTTAAAATGTCTACTTGGGTTTGGAGTAATCCTAGATTTGCCACTTCACTTCATTGGGGGACTCGCTGCTGCCTCAAAGACGTTGAGAATCATTCTGACTTCTAAAAATCTGAAAAAGAAAAGACAATAGAAACCCTATATTATTCCTTTTTTTTTTTTTGACATGAACAGAATCTTCATGCTTGTTGCCTTCCATTCACTTTTGGTTACTTTTAACTAGTTTTCATATTTTTCCTTGAATAATGTAACTTTGACACCATCTGGATCAGAGCTCACCTAGCACATAGGAGGTGCTTCATAAATTGATTGAATAGGAAGATGAATGAAAGATGGATCCCATACATAACCTCAACCCAGGGGGTGGAAGTGGTCATCACAATAACAAGTAACACATGTGTGTGAATAGCTAACATTTTACACAGTGTTCCTGGATGTTTGTTCACACTACCTTCATTGTGACTCCATGAAGTTGCAAGGAAATAAACCCATTTCACTGATGAGGATTGTGAGCCTCTTAAAAATATAACCAGTCTTAGTACCTATAATTATGAATGTTACATAACACTTGATAATAAATGACTGTTACTGTTTTTTTTAAAAAAAAAAAAAAATCACAACCAGTCTTAGAACATAAAGAGTACCAAAGTCAAGAGTCCCAGACTCCAGTTTCCCATTAGCTTGGTCTACTTAGGTACCTGGTCAGCACCCCACACCTCTCACCTCAGTTTCCCCATTCAGGAAAATGAACCAGCAGAGCTACAGTGGGGAGCAGATGAAGTCATTCGGTCAAGCTCTGGTAGTAGGATGGCCCTCTGCACGTGCAAAGCATCTCACACGCATGACCTTGCTGGGGGAAGTGCAGGGAATGGGTCTGGGGTAGTCAGGATAAGTTAGACTAACAGGGGAAGTCAAGGATCCTCTCCAGCCTAGAGCATGGTGGAACCTGCAGGAAAACTCCCACAACTTTCCCAAGGATCACCCTTCCCTGGGAAAGGGCTTGAATGTTCCCACAGACAAATTGGACCTTTTTCCTATTCCCCATTAGGAAAGTTGGCATCGCCCAAGAAGTGCACTCTTTGAGGAAAGGAAGCGTGCTTGCTGAGTGGGTGCTCAGTCATCTCCCAGCAGGACCAGGCCAGGACAATCTTAGAACGTACCTCGTGGGAATAGACCAGAGAGTGCTTCCTGAACTGATAGCCTGGGAGCAGGCAGGACATCAAAAGGGGCTTAAGTGATTCCAAACCTCATGGTAATAGGAATAACATACTGTGGCTCTGGGGCTCTTTTCTTTTCGTCAATATAGTAGAAGGAGGACAAAGAGTCTGGATTTTGTTCCTCCTCTGCCATCAGTTGAATGAACTCAGTCTCCTCAGATGTAAGATGGGGACAGGTTGGGATTTGAACCCATTTGAACTCTGTGCCTCAAACAAGAATCTGAGTCGAATAAGAAATTGACATGAGTCAAAGTGGGGATGGGGTCAGCATCAGCTTAATAACTGATACATCTGGATTTGGAAAACCAGCCTGGATTTACAGCCAGATATAATCCCCATTATGTCACCTTTTCCAAAGACTGAACCAAATTCAAGCAAAATAATTGGACAATCATGGCCACCTTCCTTCTCCTAAAAGTCATTCTTAGGGGAAAAAAAAATCCAACAACAGACAGCAGATCAGGTCACTCCCAGAACAAGAAGAGGAGGAGAGGAGGCCAAAAGGAAGCAGGAGTCTCTTGTTTGGTCCCCACTGGCCAGATATAAGAGCATTCTTCTCTTTTGAGGAGAGAAGCTGCAAGAGCCCATGACAGAAGCCTCCTCTGAAAGTGGGGGGACAGAGGAAGAGCTTCCCCTTGTAGGGGATGAAGGAAGAATGAAATGAGATCAAGAAACCAGAGCGCCCATCAGCACTAATGAGCATTGGTGGTTCTTTTCTTCCTTCTTTCTTCTCTCTCCCCAAATCTGCTCTAGGCAGTTCTCTGAGATGCGCTCCCTGGGACGACACTGTCTCCATTTGATGCTAAGGCAGAGGAGGAAGCACATCCTGGCTGGCCAGGGGCAGGCTGGGCCTACTGCGGTGGTCCCTGTGTCCCACCATGGCTAGCGTTTCCCTGGATGAGAGTCCCACTGGGGTGGTGACTTAGCTAGCTACTCTCTTTCTACAGGAAACACTGCTGTTTCTTGCTCCATCTCCCATTCCTTCTGTGGCTCCTTTGTAATAAAGGTCAGCATTTCTAGGTGTGATTCCTCTCTCTCTCCGTATCTCCTGCCTGTGCTCCCTGCATGATCCCACCCACGCCACATCTTCAACTGCAGGAATTATGTTTGAACTAGTGTCCAAGTCTTGGTCCCCCTGACACTTCTGTCTTCCCATTGTCAGCTAACACACTGGTGTCTAGATTCCCTTCAAGCATCGCAAACATTATTTTTCCAACAGAACACTCTTTGTTATCCTTCTTCCCTTGAACTGAGTCTTCTGGTGTTTTCCAGCTCTGTTTTCCTTAACTAAAAATCAAAATGTTATCTTCATACGCATTTTTATTTCACATTTAACAGATGCCCGGTTCTACAGTATCTCTTCCCCCTGGCCTCCTCTACCCCTCCCAGTGTTTCCCCGCCTCAGATGAGACCCTCATCTTTCACCTGACCCCTTGCAATGCCTCAGAAATGATTTTCCAGCTACTCGTGTCTTGAAGACATTAGTGACATATTTATCACAGTCAGATTCAGGGTCTGGTGAGGGCCTCTTCCTGGTTCATAGATAGCCTTTTTTTTTTCTGTATCCTCTCATGGCAAAAAAAGGGTTCAGGCAGCTCCATAAGATCTCTTTCATGAGAACACTGATCCCTTATGAAGGTTCCATCCTCATGATCTAACCATCTTCTAAAGGCCCCACCTACAAATGCCATCACAGAGAAGTTAGGATTTCAACATAGGAATTGAGGGTGACACAAATATTCAGTGTTCTCTTTTCTCACCAATGTGCATGCGCGCGCGCGCGCGCGCGCACACACACACACACACACATTGTAACTTGTGTTCCCTTGCATCGTCTGAACTTCCTTCACTCAGCACTCTGAGTCCCTCTCATGTCCTGTCCCTCCTTCCCTTCCGCCTTGACTCCCGTTCATCCACCCTCTATGCCTGAGGACCAAGCAGCCCTAAATTCATAGTACGATTCTCAGAAAAGCCCAAGCATGACCTCTAATGTTTCTCTGATTATTCCTCCCTCCCAGACCCTTAACTTTGAATGTCTCCTCCCCAAACACACACCTACTCCCTACCTTGTAAAGACAAGGAACATTTTTTTTTCTTTCAAGGGCAAGCTCACATGTCCCTGCCTTGGTAAAGCCTACCCTGACATCCCCTCTCTGTGCCGTCAATATTGAGCTGCTGAAACAGTTGTGCATAATCGGATTGTAGTTAATCCATTTGCATTTATGTCTCTCCCATGTACCCGTAGTTTCTGAAGAACAGAGAGTCATTTTCTTTATCTCTTTACTTTCAGCATCTAGTTATTTATTGATCTTCTCCCAGATATAATCACTGTGACATCTATTCCACACAGAGATGAACAGAAGCCTGAGGACAGGTTTGTCATGATAATATTCCTGATGCCACAGCTCTGATGATCAGGAAAACCTGTGAGTGGACCTGAGAACTTACACAAATCCCTACAAGTTTGACCTCAGTGCTTCTGTCTGAACAGTGATGGAAATACTAATAACCCTCCTAACAAGCAGTAATGGTAACATGAGACAATTTTTCTTTCAAAGAACTTTCATAACTAATGTCTAAGTTGAACATAATGAAATATGTCACTGTTAACATCACCATGAGTTAGACATTGCAGCTACACATTGGAGTGACTTTCATCTATGATACTTTGTAACAAATGATTGAAAAGATGATCCATATGCAGAAGATTTAAAGACGTGAGCATACAGAACTCAAATTACAGTTTTCTTATTAAGCCACAGAATATGATCAAAATTCTGATTTTATATTTAGAGTATTTTAGACTGTTTTTCATAAATCTTTACTTTGAAGTTAAACCTTTCTCAGAATCTGACTTTGGACTAGCGTGGACTTCGAAGGCTCTTCATAACTTTTTGAGATAGCAAAGAAAAGCTGAGAAAAATTTACACTGCTATGCTTCTGCAACTCAATCTACACTGGAATCTCTCCTAAGAGAAAGAACGAAAATACTGAAAAATCTTAATGTGCTAAGCGTTCATCACAATATTTTTTCCACAAGAGGAAAAAAAATGGAAACTACTAAAATGTCCAACTGGAGAATAATGGTTAAATGAATTATAGTGCCCCTGTGTGATGGGAACCAAAGCCGCCATACTATCTATGTGTAGCAACCCTTGTGTGAAAATATTCTGTGAAAGGCAAGGTAAAAACATATGCATGCAATATGAGCACAGGTATCTAAAAAATAAGCCCAAGATCCTAAGCAGCAGAGTTCAGATGCCCTTTGCTAGTTTCTGTGGCTTCTCCCTCTGGGAGCTGTTCATCCTGCTCTAGGAGAACCATCCTCCTCCTGTTGGGACTGGAAAGCTCCAGCAAGAACTTCCCATAGTCAGAAGCGCGAGTCAGAACTTGCTCTGCCAGTTTGCCCTGTGGGAAAAGGATTTCAATACTCTCATGTTCTCGGTCCGACTTCATTTCCCTGAATTTTTTAAAAATAAAATTAATGTTTGATTGCCAAGTAATTTATGCTCGCTTGAAAATATTCCTTAATTTTAAAGTTTCCAAACCATGTCTGGTTTGAAGTAAAATTGGAAAACAATTGCTCTTTCAGCCACCAAAATCTTTGGCAGCTTGCCTCCAAACAGAGCTTGGAATTACGTAACTCAGTCCACCAGAGAAACTTTTCTAAAAAAAGCCAACTTCTTTCTAAAACCTAACGTTTTGAAATAGCTCTGAAGCAGACTGTAAGGATTTTAGCCACTGTGGGGATGGTTTCAGAGTCCCCCCTTACAGGAGTGATACAGTGGGCAGTATTTCCTCAATGCCTCACAATGGACCGTAGATTGTAGATAACCCAAAGAATTCTTCCCCTTTCTCCAAAAGGATTATTAAGAATTATCAACTACTGGTGAAT